GTTGGCCATTACAAGTTGGCCATGGTGAGTTGGCATTACAAGTTGGTCATAATGAGTTGGCCATTACAAGTTGGTCATGATGAGTTGGCCATTTCAAGTTGGCCATGCTAAGTTGGCCATTACAAGTTGGCCATGGTGAGTTGGCCATTACAAGTTGGTCATGATAAGTTGGCCATTACAAGTTGGCCATGGCGAGTTGGCCATTACAAGATGGCCATGGTGAGTTGGCCATGGCAAGTTGGTCATGGTGAGTTGGCCATGGCATATTGGCTGTTGCAAGTCGGCTGTGGTGAGCTGGCCATGGTGAATTGTCATAGACCTGGTCCCCAGCACATGTTGCCCACCTTCTCTGCAGAGGAAGGAGATGAGTCACGTTGGCAGCAGCTGCTGGCCACTTGACTGGCATGGGGGAGTTGGGAGCTGGTGACCCCAGGAGTGGGTCATCTCAGGATGCGCCCCACCATTTGGGATAAGGGTGGGCAGGAAGACCCCCTCTGGGGACAGAGTGGAAGAGCGGGGAGGGCTGTGGGGTCCTTGGGGGTCTCTGAGGTGGGTGGTGTTTCTTGCAGACGTTTCACGACCCAACTAGTGAACATCATCAGTGCTAGGAGGGAGGGAGATTGCAGGAAGAAGGAAGAGGAGGGGGACCGTGGGGTTCAGTTGAAATTCTCTCGTTTCTATCATTTGTAAGCTGCCCAGAATCACCTCGTAAGGGAGACGGGCGGCGTGTGGAAATCAATCGATTTATTTTCACCCCATTTTGCGACTTTTCTCCTGCCACCATCGTTAAGTGAATCACGGCCATTCTTTAAATTGATCACCCCGTTCTGAAGGGCATCTGGCTTCCCACCTGGACTTTGCGGGAATCCCTCCCCCCTCCCCCACAGGACACGGCAACCGTCATAAATACGAGTCAGCAGCCAAGCAGCCAAATTTAGATCCCATGACTGTGGGGATGCCATATCGGTCGTAAGGGTGAAAAACGGTTCTAAGTCCCTTTTTTCCAGTGCCGTTGCAACTTCCAAAGCTCACTAAGCAAACGGTTGTATGTCGAGGACTACCTGTATATACTTATCACACACACACACACACACACATATCTATATATACCTATAAGATGTTTAATCACAGTCCATTTTGAATACGTAGTGGAGAAAAAGGGAAGGGGTCCTCTTGAGACCACTTTTCTCCTTGAGGACTACAATCCCTTCTTCCTGGAGGGCTGCAGTCCTGAGGGGGGCTGAGAGTGTGTGTGTGTGTGTGTGTGAGAGAGAGAGAGAGAGAGAGAGAGAGAGAGAGAGAGAAAGACAGAAAGGACAGAGAAAGAGAGAGAGAAAAAAAGAGAGAGAGAGAGAGAAAGACAGAAAGAAGGACAGAGAAAGAGAGAGA